GTCAGCCCCACCTACCTCACAGGGTGTCTGTTGTGGGGAGGGGAAGGGAAGGGAGTTTGTAAGCCGCTCTGAGACTCAGAGTGAAGGGTGAGATATAAATCCAATCTCCTCCTCCTCCTCCTCCTCCTCTTCTTCTTCTTCTTCTTCTTCTTCTTCTTCTTCTTCTTCTTCTTCTTCTTCTTCTTCTTCTTCTTCTTCTTCTTCTTCTTCATCATGTCAGCTGCAACTTGATGGTATTTTCAACCAAGGATTGGATGCAACAAGTCAGTCGCAGAGGCAGGCAATGGCCGACCATCTCCGAACATCTCTTGCCTTGAAAACCCTGTGGGATTGCCAAATGTCAGCTGCAATTTGACAGCACTTCCCATCAAGAGGGAACACAACAAGAAATTGCTTTGCAAAGCAGGATTTCTTTCTTTGCTATTAATACAGTTCTTCTTTTCATGTGCAGGTACTACATTGGACGTCGTGCATTTATGGTGGTTTCCGATCCAGATATGATCAAGTATATCTTAGTGGAAGACTTCGGAAACTTTACTAACAGAATGGTAAGCAGATAGTGGAGCCATGTCAAGGTTTGCTGTTCTTCGAGGGAGAACAATATGAGGAAAGCCTACAGATACATGCAGTTGCTTTTAGTATTCCAGTGGTTCAGTGATGAGGCAAGCCTCCCCAGAGGAGCACAAGTACTTCTCTGGCACATCCACCATCAGAACGGTATGTCTGGGCCAGGACAGAGAGTGCTAAAGCTATAGCATCTGAGGTTGCAATCCTAAACCCTCTTGTTAGGAAACAGATCCCATTGATATCACTGAGACTTACTTCTGAGCAACCGTAGGGCTGGATCTTACTGGTCTGTCCTACTAATAGCGATGCCTTCCCCTAATGTAACAGGCTCTCTTGGATTGGAGAAGGTGTTTTGCATTGGAAGACGGCACCGCTGTTAGAGGAATGGGTGTGCAGGATCTAGCCCATACATAGGATGGCGCTGTGAGGATGGAGTCTTCCCATTCTAACGTTAGCCACAGACTCATTTGGTAGCCTCTGATGAGCTGTTATGTTTCTGCTCTGCCGTTTCATTTTTGTGAGACGGTATCAAATGAGCCACTGCCCTTTCTGTCCCTTCATCTTCATTCCTGGAATAAAATCATTTACAGAGCTGCAGTCAGGATTCTTGAGATGATGCATGTGAAGAGTGTTGAACTCTCAAAAGGGGTTCTGTAAATGCCTGAGAATTGTTCTGCTTTTTCACAATACTCCTCAGTAGGTTGCATGACCAACTGGTGAGTGTCATTGCTAGGGATCCTTGGGGCATTCTGCTTATTTATCACCAACCTCTGGCTTCCTACAGATACACGTGGTTATTTTTTTTGCTATTTTCCTCTGACTGCTTCCCTACATAGCAATAAATAGCATGCAAAACTGACTTGACGTTGACACCGAATCTTTATCACTGTCACCTAGCTTAACCTTGGTCCCCTGTGTTCTCTTACATAAAGAAATGGCTTGAATGTACCCAGAACATAAAAGTAACATTTCTTGTTTGTTTATTTCATCTTCCAAGGAGCTGGGGTGGCATACATAGGAATTATCCCGTTTTATCTATACACACTAGCCCTGAAGTAATACAACAAATTTAGAGTCCAATGGCACCTTGGTCCCTGCCACATGGCAGGGAAAAGGATGGCTGCATTGCGGCTAATCAGAGCCGCACCAAAGTTGAGACACCGTGGCGGGATCCCACGGATCCCCTGAGCCACGGCGCATCGCTCCCTGGCACGATCAGATGCCGGGGAGGAAGAGTCGGATGGGAGGGGGAGGCTGCCGAACTGCGCATGCCCGAGCATGCGCAGTACGGCCGAGGGCCGGGATGCGCCGGCGCAAGGCCGGCCGATCCCACGTCCCGGCTTGAGGCGCTGTACTGGATACAACCACCTAGGTAGGTGGTTCTTTTTTAGTGCGCGTTATCGGCGGTTGGGACGGATCAGGGACGGGCAGGCAACGATTCCCAGATGTTGCCGTGGGATCGTGCCCATTTGCTCCGCCCCTATTCCGTCCCCCTCCTGGCCCAAACCGCCTCGTATGAACAGGGCCCTTTAAGACCAACAAAGGTTTATTCAAGGTATGAGCTTTTGTGTGAAGTAAGTTTAGATAGTGATTGGTTCAAGTTCATTTAGGCAGCTTCATGGCTGAGGAGGGATTTGAATTCAGGACTACCCATTTGAACACTCTTCGATGAGTTAGTCAAGCTCAGGAAAGGCATAACTCAAAAACCTCCTCTTTCACATGTGCTTATCTTAGAGATGGTTCAAATATGGCAGAGGGTCATTATGATGTACTTTGACAACCGCTGCATGTTTTAAGCAAAGTTAAAGATCAACATGATATATGCTGAGCAGTCGGGAGATGCCTTCACAACATTCACCAGAAATGCTCTCAATGGTTAAACTCTGGGAAAGGCACTGACTGGCTAGTGCTTGTAACATCACCAAAAAATCCTTCCTCAGAACAGTTTTTTAACTGACTTCAAAACGTTTTGGGTTTCTGTTTTAAATAAGGTTAAAAGTGGACATATTAACAGATAAAAATACAAGCTTCAGTTTCTTAAACGCAGATCAGTTTGGCTAAATTGTAAGGGGAGGGGCAAGACACCATTCAGTGTGATAGAAACTGTCATGCAGATTGGAAAGCCAAGAGGCAACTGGGTTCACACCAGGATGAAGAATTCCTTGTGACTGCTAAATGTGACATCTGTCTCCACTGCAGGTTAGTCAGAGCCTGCAAGCTTGTCCTTCCCTTTCAACATGTGCTGGATCATTATGAAAGAAACACGTAATTCCCAGATTAAAGAGCAGCAAGCTTTAACACATGGGGCAATTATAATTCGTGAATCAAGTGGGAAGCATAAGGAAATGGATACCACGGTTATAAGGACAGGACAGAGATGGAACAAATGATTTTAGCAGAAATGTTTTCAGTTGATTGAAGAGCAGTGACATGAAGGGAGAGAATTCCAGGTGAAAGCTGCAGTACATCAGTGGTTCTTATGTGAGTCTTCATTCCCACTTTACAGGCTGTGGGACATTGGGTGTGCAAAATTCCATGGAAAGGTAGACTCCTGAGACAGGAGTTGCCCTTTTCCTCCATCAGCAAATACCTAGATAAACTGATTATATTGGTGATGGTGCGGGGTTGTGTGTGTGTGTTGAAGAACTGGGCTGTGAAACACTTTTCAGATTAGGAGTTGTGATATCATCAACTAGAGTTCCTAGTGGAGAAAGGTTCTTGTGTAAAATTAATGTGTGCTCTCTCGCCTTTTTTCAGAGTAACTCTATATTGAAGCTTGCATTAGCTATGTTTTTAGAAGGCCATTATATTCCAGGGTTTAAAAACCACAAGTGCAACCAAACTTGGAGTAGGCTGTGCCTTCCCTGGCCCACTTACTTTGTATGAGAACCTGGTAGAACCTGGGGAGGTGAAGGTTTGGGGAGGGGAAGGTTTGGGGAGGGGAGGGACCTGAGCAGAGTACAGTGCTATAGAGTGCACCCTCTAAAGCAGCCATTTTCTTCCAGGGAAACTGGTCTCTGTAACCTGGAGATCAAGTGTAATTCCAGAAGATCTCCAGGCCCCACCTGGAGATCTGCAACCCTAATTATTAGTAATAGCATTTATATCTTAGGCCCCGGCCACATGGCAGGTTTAGGCCCAGAAGAGGGACGGATCGGGGGCGCAGCAAACGGGCGCGATCACACCGCAACATCTTGGAAGCGGCGCGCACCCGTCCCCGATCCGGCCCTTTAGGCTGAAAATGCGCATAGAAGAAAAACCTAGAAATAGGTAGGACTTACCTGAAACAGCGCAGCAAGCACGGCCGTGAGATCACCGGTGCGCCCATCTACAGGAGCAATCGAGGCTCCCGGCCGAACTGCGCATGCACACACATGCGCAGCCGGCTGCCTCGCGCTCCCTTCCGTGGCTCCCCCCCGGCATCTGATCATGCCGGAGAGCAACTGCGCAGCGGCTCAGGGGATCTGTCAGATCCCGCCGCCGTGTGTCTCTTTTGGTGCAGCTCTAAAAAGCCACACTTTGGCCGTTCTTTCCCCCCTCCCCCGTGTGGCAGGGGCCTTAGATGGCTTTTTAAAAGGGCTGTCAGCTACTGTCAGCCCTCTAGGCTAAATGGGATCTTCATGTTCAAAGGCAGTTTACCTCTGAATATCAGGTAAAGGAGCAACAGAGAGGCACTGCTGCCTTTGTGCCTTGCTTGTGGGTTTAATGGAGGCATCTGGTGCGCCACAGTATGAAACGGAATATGGAGCAGATGGTTATCTTGCTGCAATCTTTGCAACAACTCTGTATGGCAGGCCATTATTATTATCCTTCTTGCAAGAGTGGCTTGCCCATCGGTAGAGGCGCTTAGTCTTCTGACCCGTCAGTTAGCCATTAAACTGAAGCAGCATATAATTTTCATCAGCTTCCCGAAGCAGACAAATTTTAATGGTATTTGGGTTGAGCAACAGTGCTTAACTCCTGCAGTGAGAGGTACTGAGCTTCCCTGTGGTATCTGGGACACCCTAATCCTAGATTCATCATGCATTCCAAGGAAATACCTGACTGGGAACATAGCTATGAGGATATGTCTAGCCACAATGATTTGTGCCTTAGTTGCATTTAGACTGGACTATTGCAATGCGCTCTACTTGGGGCTACCCTTGAAGAGTGTTTGGAAGCTGCAGCTGGTGCAGAACACTGTGGCTAGACTGCTAGTTGGGGCCAGCTGTTGGAAGCATGCAACCCTGATACTGTAGCGGTTCCACTGGCCTCTGATCTGCTCCCAAGCCCAGTTCTAGGTGCTGGTTTTGCCCTTTAAAGTCCTACATGTCTTGGGACTGGGGTATCTGAAAGACCATTTTCTCCTATATGTTCCTGCCGTGGAATTAAATTCATGGGAAGATGCTCTCCTGGCTGTCCCACCAATTAAAAACACGCATTTGGTGGGTACACAAGAGAGGGCCTTTTTCATGGCTGCCTAACAATTTTGGAACAACCTCCCCAGGGAGGTGAGGTGACCCCTCCTGGTCAGTCTCCAGGAGGCAGCTGAAGACGGTTTCATTTTGGACTACATTTTGATTGATTTAGCTTATATTCCTGGCAGCCCTAATTACAGTTTTTAAACTGTGATACTTATGGGTTTTATAATTGTTGTTTTATTGTGTTATTTATAATGTTTTATTTATATTGCAAACCTCCTTGAGTTCCACAAGGGAGAAAGGCAACTGGTGACCCCCTCCTGGTCAGTCTCCAGGAGGCAGTTGAAGACGGTTTCATTTTGGACTGCATTTTGATTGATTTAGCTTATATTCCTGGCAGCCCTAATTATAGTTTTTAAACTGTGATACTTATGGGTTTTATAATTGTTGTTTTTATTGTGTTATTTATAATGTTTTATTTATATTGCAAACCTCCTTGAGTTCCACAAGGGAGAAAGGCAAATGTTTTAAACAAAGAAAGAAAGAAACAAATAGAGGGTATAATGAAGGGCTCCTGCACT